TAAAGTTTCAGGAGTGACAACCACATTTAAAAGCGGGGCTGAGTCATGTCTTGCTTATACTTAGTGATGGGGAGTCGCCTCCAAAAGAGTCAATTCCTCGAGTCTAAATCGCCCTAGTCAGGGTCGACTATCACAGGAATCAACTCTTGTGTCAGAGATATTGTTCACTGATTCTCTAATCCCCATATAATGCTTGGCAGTTGAGTGCACTATATCAGCAAAGGAGTGAACAAAATTAAGCGAGGAATTAGGACATGTGTTACACCGTGCGTCAGAGAGCTGTCGCAGAAACAACTTACCAAGTAACTTTACATTTACTCTACACTGAAACTTAATCAAACAAAGTGTAAAAGACAAAGAAAAAGCTGAATGTTTCCTTTCCTGCACCACAAGCTCTCAGGAGTCTATCAGTCATTGTGTTGACTTGGATGCACCTTGCATGACATTAACGCTAATGGGGCCGAAGCGTACGCATATATTTGCCTGAACTAGAGAAAGGTGGAGAGAGAGAGATAGACAGAAAGGAGAAAGAGAGAGGAAGTGAGAGAATGAAAAGGGCACATGAGGATAGAAGCTGGCGGATGTGAAGAGTCTGGGCAGAAAGAGAAAGAACGGGGACATGGAGAGGCCTGAATCTCCTGAGGCTTTTCCAAAAGCGCATTGATTCTTTGAGTAGAGCCTCTGCCACTCTGCACGTACACCCAGAGCCTCTCTAGCCGCCTGGCTTCAGTGTGGGAGCGGAGAAGAAAGGGAATGGGAAAAAGAGAGAGAGAGAGAGAGAGAGAAGGAGAGCAAGGGCAGGGAGGGAGGGTGTGAGGAAGGGACGCAGAGAAAGGATGAAAGAGACACATTTGTTGCTGTGCGGATGGGTGAAATTTCACGTTGCTGGCAGTGCGATATATCCCAGATTTCTGTTCGGACAGGGGGCCGTGAATACACACTGTGGATATTGTGAATGCCATCATTCATGTATCACTCCATCTGGACTCAGACAAGCAGGGAAGTGTCTGAAAAGGCTTTTTCTGATGAATGAGGTCTGTGATGAGACACTATTTGAGTTTGTGTATTAATGCTGAATGTAAGAAGGGTTTGTTTACATGTTCATGTGCGTTTATGGTGCACCCTAGTGTAGTGAAAGTGTGTGTTTGCAGAGCACTTAGGTCCAGTTTCCAACTAATTCAAGGAACATGGAACTAATGATGGTCTGTTTTCAAATGTCTTAACTGACTCATGCTACAGCAGCTTTGCAGTGAGGTTATTCAGGCAGCAAAACCTCTCTGCGTTAATTGAATTACAGGGGCTTTTCAAATTGGGTAATTTGGGAAATACCAAAGTCAGACAGTGAGCCTGCATGAGAACAATTATGTAATCTGATTCTGCACTGCCATTTTTACTAGACTGCATTCAAACAGTCAAACGGCACAATCCATAAACAGCGAGACAATAACATGTTGAATCCAAATGCCAAGTATTCATATTGTGGATGAACAAGTATTCTTATCTATGAACACAATACAGGATAAGGATGACTTCCTTCTGACCAGTGCTCTTATTCCTCAGGCAATGTTACTGTCTGCATCAGCACTTTCATATCGTCTGTGACCTCTACATGGCTCTTCCTGCAGTCAAGCTCGTCACCCCCTACATGTTTCTGTGGTGCTAACCTCCTGCGCACACCCATAACTTCTCACTGTGACACTGAATCAACATGGAGCCATTGTCCTCCATCTCTGTCTGTAGGGACGTCAGAAGCACTCTTTTCATCTTCTGAAAGTGATCTGATTTACTCCCCATCAGTCCACACTCAGCTCAGCTGCTATTTAGGGAGTTACACATTTCATTTGAATATCAAAGCCCATGAGAAGGTGGCCAGACACTTTACATGCCATTTTTGTACAGCTCTTTTGTCAAGGAATGTGACCACTGAAGTGTTAATGACCAAAGGAATGAGTTTGGAGAAACAAAGCCTGCGTTGTGCAACACAACCAACACACACACAAAACACACAGAAAACCTGATCAGAAAGCCCCATCACTTTCTGGATCCCAAAATAGGCAAACTTTTGACTACTGCTCTTAAATTATGGGTCAAATCCAAGATTAACAGATGTCCCAATACTGATTACATTACTGTTACAGACACTCTTATATATCATCGGGACTCAGCACAGGATCATGAGTGCCAGTATATTACAGATACTAATATACTAAGTATTATTAAACAACAAACACAATTTCCAGTCTTTTATCGTATAAGCAACAAATGGTTTTCAAAAGATTCCTCTCATTAAACAGCATTTGAGGGTTATGGAAAAGGTTTCCCACCATTTTCCTCAAATTCTGCTCCCAAGATATGATGTCATGAAGCTGAAAGTCTTTGCATGAGATCTCTTCAAAGTTTCCTTTATTTTTAAGACATCTTGCCCTCTTTCAGTGATACACACTACATCACCTACATCTGTAAATCAAGAAGGACAGACATAATAACAATCAGAGGGCTTCAACCACCCCATAAGAGCTCTCTAATCGACTGTTTTGTGTGAAAGTACAAGAGGAGCCTATTATTCAACACACCAATAACTTTAGTGAAGCTGCCAGAAATTCAAAAGGCCCACCAGATCCAAGGGGCGCCAGTGTAAAGGCCAATAACTATCCGTGTGAATTTATGTGCTTGTTCACTAAAGAGACGACCTTGTTAACATCCATTTCCATCAGTACTATTGAGATATTTGCCAAGGACTGTGAATAAGGTGGTCAGGCATTCGCGGTTCCCTTAAAAATGAGGAGAGATAAATGGGAAGGCTTTTTACGTAATTTTACAAACTCACAAAAAGGCCTTTCTTTGTGAGAGTACACCAAGATGACCAAATCTATGAGCCATTTTATCACCTACCATCAGTAAGACTGGCTTTTCTGTCAAGTTTTTTCTTTTCAACCAACACAATTCAGCTTATAATAAAAAGAAAGCTGAACAAAATGAAAACTCCTTGATGTCAATATATGTAACATCCACATGCATAATCACATAATGACTGTCTCTTTGTCTCCTAATCTGCATGTTTTGTGAAAGTCTGTTTACATGAGGGACATAGGGGGACAGCAAAGACTCTACAATCGCAATCAAAAAACGAAAACCCAAGGCAAAACACCTGCATCTCAAACAATGTAAGAGAATGTCAGGACATGTTCCTGTGTCGTTAAGCTCTGTCTTTTTTCCTAAACTTCTGAAGGTAGCTAGGGATTTTTACAGCTTGTCTACATCATTGTTTAACTGCTTCAGAGTATTTGAAACAAAACTCCACTTCAGGCTTCATGTCTAAAAAACATCTCATATCAACACATATTATATGTTTATTTATTATATAATTTCCCATCAAGACACTGTAGATATATTTGAGGTTATTTCCCTCTCTAAGTATACAAATCAATGAATTTTACACACTGTGAAAATCTGAAAACATCTGGAAGAAAAGCATTTCCAGACCACAAGTCCTCATAAATTCAGAGTGAAGTCTTGGCTCATACCTAAACTGTAATTTGAGTCCTACCTTTTTGCTCTGTCTGATTCAAATTAATATGATTTATGAAAAGTATTCATATTAAAAAGCAATTCAAAAAACATTCAGTGACACAATTGTTTCCAGTATTAGTATCCATGCTTGTTCTAGACTAGAAACAGTGACAATTTTACAACTGTAAATCTCTGGTAAGTTTATGGGAGATGTTTCAGTGAAAGCTATACTGTAAATCAACTTCAAACTGTCTAGATCAAACTACATACAACTTGATTTTAATTCATGAATGACTTTCAGAACTTTCATTTAGACACTGACGTATGCTAAAGTCTAGTTATGCAGGTGCAGTTTGGTAACAGTAACCTAAAAAAAAGTCCATGATTAGTGACAGATAGTATGTGAATAAATCACTGCATCACCACAAACTGCCTTTATACTCTATTGTGAATACAAATCACAGCACAATGTTTAGATGCTCCTGAAAGATATCTCGTATAGTCAGATAAAACGAGTGAATTCTTCACCTTTGGTTAATTTCTTTGAATTGTCTTGCTTCATGTGGTGCTAGTAGACAGTAGATAAGATATTTAACTAAGGTAAGCGTATGTTACTGTGTATAGCTTAATCAGCTCTTACAGAAGATTTTGCCTCCACTACATTCATGATAAGCATGAAGTCCTTAACTGTTGCAAAAGCAAAAACTAGGCTACACAATGGTTATAGCTTACTGTGGTTAGATCAAATTTGTCATCTTAAGGGAAAAAAGTAATCTTACTAATGCTATCAGTAATTGTGTTCAACTTATTCATTATCTTCACACCTCTTGCTCAGAAGAACACAGTGAATGTAAAAAATGTAAGCAATGTAAGTTACCTCTACTAAATCTACCTTTGCTAATCTGTTTTTCTTTTTTCTTTCAGTTTTCTCATTTCTCATTAAGCCAATATACAATATATTTGAATTGCAAATATGTCAATTAATGTCACACTTACAAAATACAGTCTGTTTTTACATGTCACCAACTCACCTTTTTTGTGACTTTCACTGACATCAGCTCGTCTAGATGGTTCTTCCAGAAAATACATCGTCAGTCAGTTTGACAAACTGCAATGAATGCCTTATGTGCACACAAAGATCGTAATAAATCTTAATAAATGTAGTTTAGTAATTATTTACAATTTGGTGCTTATTAACTTAACTTACCTCATCAGGCCCAGCCGTTGACTGTAACTTTCACTTGACGAAAAACCTGTAAAATGAAATAAACCGTAAGTTAAAAACGAAAGCTAGTGAAATGGAGCAGGGTTTTATTAATGTTATTCACACCTCACGAACCGTTCAGTCAGAGACAAAGGACTTTGACGTTACTTAATGAATTATTTCCTAGGATGACGAATTTGCATTAACCGCCAAACAACACTGGCGCTCCACTCACGTTTCACAAGGCGGCGGAAATGCGTAATTAACCAGGAAGTGAGTCAAGTGACTGTCTGAGAATGGCGGCGCGCTGTGTTGTGCAGTCCGTAAGGACAGTGCTGAGGTCCGTCCAAAGCGATTTCATCAACAAGGGCTTATTTCAGAGGATACCACAGTTCTCTTTTTTGGGGAGTGTGCCGTGTCGCGGACTTAGACATGGTGAGTTTACTGGAGTATGATTTCGGGACGTCTGCAATAGCATCGTCCTCTTTATGTCATAGCTTTTATGTATTATTTTGTATTATATTTATATCTAGTGCTGTTTTAAAGCATGAGCGCACGTTGAAAATCTGGGATTTAATAGAACAATTAAGTCTATGAAATTGAAATGCAATAGAACATTTTCAAAGACATGTTATTACGTCAAGGACACAAGACATATTTAACATTCTTATACAATTTTAAGCAACTAATCAAATTAGCCAGTTTAGTCAGTGCTATGCATGTTGTTATTTGTATAAAACGTTGACGAACAAAAATACAAAGAAATTGAGAAGTTGATTTTTCAACCCAACGTTTTACTCAATTTTTCCGATTAACATAATTTGTATGGCAAAAAAAAACCTATAAATTAGAAGAATGCAAAATAAAAGCAGGTTCTACATTTTGAATAGCACTCCAATGCTATTAAAGCAAGAAGTTTACTTCTGTGTCATTTTGAATGTCTGCATCATGGGATGTTATAAATTCGTGTGCATTTTGTGTTTCACAGTGGTGGAGAACAAGGAGGCCAAAACAACAGTTGTAAGTAGCAGCCCAAGTGTACATTTTAGAAAGCAATTTATCATGCAATAAACAAAACAATATTCCAGTTGCAAGGATGGTCCTTCAAGCTTCCAGAATAGAACTGTCTGTCTCATCTCTTCTTTGGATTGAACCAGCAATTATGTTAGTCCCAATTTAGCTTGGAACTATTTTCAATACTATCCCCCGTTTTCACACACAGGGCTTAAACCTAGTCCCAGACTAAAATGCATGTTTGAGCTGTTAACATGCATTTTAACATAGCACTGACATTTCTTAAAATATGTCAGTGCCATTGTTTTGGCTCAAGATGCACATCAGTAATGTTTTGTTTTCTCTAAGACACGTTTATAAAAGCTACTCAAAACTCAAATGTCCTAATTGAACTATGGCCTAATAGGCTATATGCACGCATAAGTTCCGCATTTGACGCAAGGATGCTCGTCAGTTTCCGGTTGGGGAGATTAAAGCAGAGGAAAACCGAGGAAAACGGGATTATGGCAGAGTCTTCAAAATTTACTGTCCTCCCGTCTTTGAAACGAAACTTTCATACGTTTAGATGTAATTTTATATATAGTTATGTTTATTTAATATAATTTTAAAAAGAAGCATAAACACAACGAGGTGTGTCTATTTTGTCAGTTTTTGTGACTAACGCTTCTTTAGTATAACCATGGAGTATACAATTCAATATAAATTCTCGGTATTGCATTGGACTCTATGATCGGCGGAAGTTATCGAGCATCCTTGACCTTCACCGGAAATACCGCCGTGCATAGAGCCCATCCTGGCTTAGTCTAAACCCTCTCTGTGAAACCAGGCCTAAAATATAATGCTTATTTTGTCACTCTTTTCTCAGATTGAGGGTGTTATAGAGCCTACATCGGAACTACCACAACCCCCCAATCCCAAAGCTGCCTGTCCTATCTACAGATGGAACCTGCAGAACAAGTACAACTACACCGTAAGTGCTTGAACATGTGACAGTTCTGTAAACCATTATCTGTATCTCGTTATCTTTAAGACTTGTCTCTCTCATTCTCATACGTGATGCAGGACGTGCTGTTACTCAGTCAGTTCATTCGCTCAGATGGCGGGATGCTTCCCCGGCGCATTACAGGCCTCTGTGCTCAGGAACATAACAAGATTTCAATTTGTGTACAGATGGCCCATCGGGCAGGTGAGTTGGAACTTTCATTTGAGAGAATGGACTCAATCTGATGTTACCCTATTTATGTTGTATGAAAACAGTGTCAGTTGTCAGTGTCAATTTCAATAAAACGGATGTAATACAGCATCTAAAACTGTAAAAAAAATGGTGGCCAGTTAAAGGACATCAGATATACACTTTCCCTTAAACATAAACATTTAGCCCAAATTTAAAAATATCTTGATTTAAGCATCACTACCCTTATCTGTTTTGATGTACATATTAATAGTTACAATAAGTCAACTACTTCCATCTAAATTTTTTTTTCTAGGTCTCCTACCAGATCATAGACCCCGCTTACCTGAAGGCCATGTTCCAAAACCTAAACCCAACCCACCTCTCAACCGGTACGATCACCTCAGATGCCACAACAGCACCAAATAGCCCTTTATAATGTCACACATTTGATGAGCCATATTTGCTTGTGCCATTTTTTTATATTGGGTGCATCCCACAAATCTAAGTGTCTCTTTACGGTCTTTTGCAGGTATCTGACACGTTACTCTGTGAAGTCTGTGAAGCCCATCTTAAAGACAGGGCTGAAGTGGTGTAAGAAGAGAATGAATGTCGGACATCCCGCCCTGAAAAACAATGTCAGATACAGCCCCAAACCACTGTACATAAAGCACTGATAAACAGAGCTGTTTACCCAATCGAAACAGTGACTTCCTATATGGGACAGAGAGGATCTATGGCAAAGGATTTGCACCTTTTCGTGTTGTTCATTGCCTCAGCCACAAAAAGACTGTTAATTGATGAACCAGAGTGCACTGAAACATCTTTGTTCATCCCTCTGATTTTGGTTACCTTTCCCACTGTCTGATTTGGAAAGGCAGATGTGCAAATGTGCAAATAAAATGGTTGTTTACCTCAATAGCAGCTGTTTCTGAGTGTGCATGTGTTTGTGCCAGAGAGAAAGCAAGGTACACTTTCGTGTCTGCTTTAAGGGTTGAAACACCAACGCAATTTCAACTTTCCAAACATGTTGACGTGTTTATGTTTTCTTGACAGAAAGAAAAATACAGTGAATGTGAGGCCACAGAGTTGATTACACAATAACTTGTGCTGTCTTTAAAACGTGGCACCAAAAACAAGGAGATTGTGCTTCTGAAGTCAGTTTGGCTGCTATAACATGAAGGGCAGGTCCAGGTTTATAAGTCCATCTCCCATGTAGATGTATCCATGCTGAGGGGTCTGGGGAACATGGAAGGAGGTGAGACCCAGCCAGAGCAAACTGCGTAATACACACACAGTGCCGCCCCGCTCAAGCTGCAGGCTCCATGACCCTGCATGAAGAACAAACACAGTAAGAAAAAAAAGACTAGAATTATCCTACTGTGCAAGATCAAAGAAGAAAAGAGCAAAAAGCATTTTGCATAAACTGAACCTGAATTTTAAACCATTAAACATAACCATTGACAGAGTCCAGACTCTGATAGTGTGACAGCAGCAGAGTAAAATCTGGAGAAGAAAGTCGTGTGACAGAGAGTTGGCTCAGTTATGGATTTACTATTATCACAGCAGTGTATAAAGAAGAGGCGTTCTGGGGTCTTTCTGTCTGGGTGGCCCCTGCATCCAGCTGCCGACATTGGCTCGTGCCCAGTACCGCAAAGCTCCATGCCAATGAAGTCTGTGTTTGAACTGCAGCTCTGAACATTAACTGCTAACAATGTTTAACCTAAAACACTCAAAAATCGACAAAAATGTCCATTGTGACTCTTTGCCTTGTTATGAGTCCAAATATTTAACAGACTGCAGTTCTATAGAGAGCTCATCAAAATACACGACCATGACATTATGCTAATAAGAAAAGCTTTTGAGGAAAATATGTAGTAATTAGATTTTCAAGTCCGAGAAATTAGATATTAGATAAGACTGGCAAGATCAGACAATATACTTCCATCAACAAAGAACAAAACCATTTCCCTTAATTTGTTATAGCGATATTTGTTTAAAAACCATGCGGTTATACAACATTTTCTGCCTTTCCAAGTTCTTGGGAAGTCTCCCAACTTTTTCCTTGTCCAGACCACATTCAAGGAAACCTGAGTGAAGCCGAAGGAGGGCAGCGGTAAATACCACTGCCATTCCCAGTCTCCTTTACCCACTATTTAAGACGTCCAGATGAACCTGTTCACCTCTGGCACTTCTTGAGAGGGGATTGAGTTTTTTTTCCACCTGATTGGTCAAGGGGAAAAAGTAAAACTGTTAGGCAGGGTGGATAAATACCCCCGGTCTGAGACCTGCTCTACGTTTTCAGTTTTTAAAGACGAAACAAATCAACTTAGCCTAGTTGGGTGCTGCCTGAGGTGAGGGGCTATCCCTTAGAGAGAGAAATAAAGGACAGATCGCCTCCTTTAATGAAACAGCTGAGATGTTTCTAACACACTTTAAGTCTGGGCATGTCTCCAGTAGGGTGACTGTGGCTTCAAACTCGACTGAGAAACAACAAAGCAGCATTTGCCTTCTAAATCGGAGTCCGATAACAATATTCCCTGTGAGGAAATGCTTCTTTATCCTATAACTGACGTAGTCCTTGATGGGTGATCACGGACTTCTCCTACCTCAACTATCCTTACACTTTAAGGTCACATTTAGCAGGAGGTCACTCTTAATCTTGCAATGAGGGCTCTATGAGGCATAAATGCCAGAGTCATGTTTTTCAGTAAAGCTCAATGATGTTCTAGTGCTTTGCTCGGTATGTTAAACAAATCAGAATCCATCTGGTTAAGATTCAGGATCAGCAGAACCAGATATTCCTTGAGGAACTCGATGTTAAACAATCAGTAGTGGTCTGTGCAAGCAAGGGGCTAAGCTTCATGAAGCAAGCTGGATGAATACCTTTCAGCAAGCTTACGTCTGACTTGAATTTGCGGAGAACAACATAGCCAGGCGAATAGTTTTCTGAATAATTGTTTTGTTAGTTCACTCCCAAATGACAAACATTGCAGGAAGACACACCAAGATATATGAGACGGGAAATTTATCATTGATGTAGAAAATGGCAATCCCTCAAACGCTTCTTCCCAGAAAGAAAAGAGAACAATGGGATCATAGTTTGCCGAACAACACCCCAGATGTCTCCTTGGCTTTCGCTCGGCCTTAGGCAGCTGCCAAATCATATCTGTCATTAACACAGGGAAATCCAGCAACAGGGATCATGGGATGCTTTGCAGAAGGATTTTTACACCATCCTCATATTTCCCACCACTATTAAGACTTCCTAAATGCAATTTGCATGTCAGCATCATTTTTGGGAAAGTATAGTGGTGTTAACAGGTGTTGTTCACCTTTGGATTATAAAGTCTAAAGCAAAAGACGGGTCTGACTTCAGTGCCAACGTTTCATTATAGGGTGGGAGCTGGAGACTTCCACAAGTACATACAGAAAAAAATATTGTGCCTGGAAATAAAACAGCATCGAGAATAAATCATCACACATAAAGGTAATGAAAGATCATTCCTTTTAATTACCTTTGGGAATGTCCTCACTCAAAGGATCTAGGAAGTCGAGAGCAGGGTTCAGATAAGACATTTCCAAGATGGACTTCTTTTTCAGGTTAACCGGCTCACGAAAGTGCAGGTAGTTGCGAAGTTTCGCAGCTTCAGTGGGATGCAGACCTGCGATCATGGGCCAAACTTAAAACTGATCTGGGGTCGGACCATTCAAATAAATGACAACGTAAAGAGATGAACTGAAGACTGATGCAAGAAAGTGACTTCAGAGAACTGAAGTGAACTGACATTTCATTTCACTTTAGTTTTATATTCACACAGCTGCATCTGATTTCCGGTAGAAAGCATATACAAACACTTCTAATGGTTTGGCTGTAACTGTAAGCATACCTCCAAAGCTTCGGTTTATCTGCACTTTGCCACTGGGACTCTTTGTAAATGCACCACGTGGCACTACAGACACATCTTTATCGATGTTTGACACGGTCGTGGCCAATCGACTCGCCTCATTCACTTTCACCTGCAGAAAGGGAGCCATGTTAATCGCTCCATAAACATTCAACAAGCCGCCTGCCATCTACCATGTTTACTACATTATAAACCACGAATAAACAGAAAACCGGATAAATAATAACAGTTGTTTTACATCCAAACATTACCACGTCCACATAAACACAACGTTCATCATGCTTTGTGTGTGCGTGCGTGTGTTTAGTTGAAGCTTCCACTTTTCCTCGAAATGTTTAGACACTTTGATTTCTAAAAATTCAAGTTTGGTTAGCGAAGCAAGATCTGTATTTTATAAAAGACACAAACATGCCACAATCATGAAGTGCAGATACACCAAATAAACCAAGATGAGCTTTTATTCATTTTGCTGAATCTATTTTCCTGTTTCCTCATGCTTATTATAGCCCCATCTGTGTCGTGTATCCCAATGGTCCCTGAGTCCTCTCACCTTGACCTCTACCTCCGTGGCTTCGTCCCCCTCTCCCTCAGTGCGTGTCTCTGTGTGCTCGTACTGATGGGACGGGTCGCCCGTGAATCGCCCCTGTGCTGCTAATGCCACGTCTGCAGTCATGGACTCAGTGGCTTGTGGCAGCAGGTGCCAATCTAAGCAGTTTAAACTGTTTAATGATTAAAAAAGATAGATTGACAGACAGACAGAATCAAAAATTATTTTAGAAAGAACTCACTAACAAGATTAAAGAAATAATGGTATTAAATATAACTGACCAAAAAAAAACTATAAAACTAAAATAATATAAAATATTTAATTACACGTTTTTGGAACTTTCATTTAAATGGGCACTATATAAAGATCACATCTACAAAATTAATTGAGTTATAAAACCTATTGAACTGAATTGAAATTGTAATATCAAGTTTTATGTGTCAAACTTACGCATTAAGGCAAGGCCATAATCATGTCTTGAACATAAGTAATTAAAGTATTAAAGGGGAATTCATAGAATAAATAAAACAAATAAGAAGAAGAAGAATGTACACATTCACTCTTATTCGTATGTCTAAAATGTTGAAAATGCAAATTGCAACTTGGCCATTTCTTATTATTGGGGGGGGGACTTATTCCCCTAAATGTCTAAGGTGGTTACAGCCCTGCATTAAGCCAATATACACAATCACAATGAGTTAATAACAAGCAGTTATATAAAGAATAAGCATGATTTCTTACCTGTACAAAGACTTTTTTTTCTTCATTTCATCCTCTTCAACACCTTGAGCAATCAAATAGTCACATTTTATCCCCAAAATCTTTCCCCAAAATAAAACCCGGCTGAATTTGTAACTTCTCTTCAGTATGACCAGAGAGGTTTGAAGAGCAGCTCTCTGCTCGCTGCTCAGAGTCAAACCATTACCAGCAGCTAAATCCAAAGAGTAATGCAAAGAATCCGAGTCCATCTCTATTCACTGACAAATGTATATTTACAAAAGAATTGAAATTAATACTCGAGTAATATTTGTATTTATTTTGCTTGTTAGAAAGCTGCAGCTAGCAAGCTAATCACCCTCACTCTCCAGTGACTCTGTGGTTGCTAAGGTAAACAAAAGCCCTAGTAGCCTGTTGCTATAGCTACTCATAGACACCAAAGAACGTATTGTTGACTCTTTGTAGACACTCAGCTCACTAGAGGTAACGTTACAAACTGAAATATCTTATTTAGAAAATTAATGGCGGCGAAAATTAATACATTTTATTTATAATATTATTTTAAAAAATATCATGCAAATATATATTTTGATCATTTTTTCTTAGCATATGTGATGAACAGATTGGTCGCTCTTCATCTGCTGAGAGAGACAAACAGGAAGCATCTGACACAGCTGGCAGGATGTGTGTTCTGTCCAACCTAATGCCCTCTGCGTGATACCAACAGCTTCACACACTGAACGTGTGAACTCGTGCTGTTAACAGCAGCCCTGGGTGACGGGAGAAGTCAGCTGGCTGTTGTGAACACATGATGATAGCAAACAGAAGCAGCCTAGAGAGATAAGTTTGATTTCGCTTTTGCACATGCATTATAGAAAGCTTATCAAAGTCATATTTCACCCCAAAATCGTGAAAAAAAAAGAAATGATAGTTTTATTAGTGCTGTCAAGTCGATTAATTGCATCTAACATTAAAGTTTGTTTTTGTATAAGGTGTGTATATATTATATTTCTACATATATATTATATATAGGCCTACTGTATGTCTGTGCATGTGTGTGCGTATATATATATAAGTATATATGTATACAATACATATACATATATTCAGTAAACAAAAACGTTTAAAGTTAGATGCAATTAATCACGATTAATCAGATTGACATAAGTTTTGTATATTTATGATTAAATAAATTATGATCATTTAAAAAATATATATTTCAAGTTAGTTAGTTTTACTGTCCTTAATTTACACTGAATTCATATTTCACCCCAAAATTGAAACAAAACATTGAGGAAATTATAGTTTTTTATATTTATAATAATAATAATAATTTTATTTTTATGTATTTGTATTGTGACTATTTTAATGACAATTAAGAACATTTCATCCCCAAATTTACATAAAGATAAATTTGTGAAGTATTTATACACCATGACAGCATTTGTTGGTTGTGCTGCTTTCGATTTATGCTGCATTAAACTAAAAACTATTAAAAGAAAAATAAAAAAAATCTAATAATTGTGTCTGGCCAGGATGATTTGCATTAATGTATTGCAGTAATGAGAATAATCATCACACTAAATAGAAATTGCATAATTGTCATGAAAATAAATGCATACAATGCAATAAATATTAAAGGTTGAAAAGTAAGTTTAATTTTTTTTTCTATGCAAAATATAATTTCTTATTTTCTTACTTTAATTTAGGGATTAAATTGTTAGTATCGTGGCAGTTCTAACTTCATACACTTAGTAAATTTGTTTCTTTTTCAATTTGTTTCCAGTTAAGCTGTTTATATTGCAAACTTTTTTTTGTCATCATATTTTAATTTCATTATCATAATAATAAACACACTGGTTTGTATAGTGCAAATAGTTTGACCGTTTACTGCACTTTGTTATTCTTCTACAGGTTATTTACCTACAGGAGCCGATGAACCGTAAGTCTCGCACATTAACAGAAAATAGCTTTGCAAAATAAGGTGGAAACTGTATGTCTGCTCTATAGCATAAGCTTTCCTGCACGGTAAAACCTTGACAAGCAACATCCGTTACAGGTGTCAAGTGCTTAGCACTCTCTATGCTCTTAAAGCGGATCCGTGTGTGTGCGCACTAGCAGACTCGTATGTCTGCATTACTGTGATTAGGAACGGTACTTCAGCGCTGTCAAGGAACGGTTAGCCACAAAGGCCCGTTGAGTTAGTGGCACACAAGTTCAACACGCACACAGACGGACAGCCTCATTCACAGGAGATTAGTGGCGACAACATCACACCCGCCTCGGGCTATAACTCACAAAGCGCAGGCCCTTCGGAAAGTCCACGAGCAAAGGGGGAAGATTTGAGACAGGAAGGGGAGGATGAGGAGGAGAGGAAGAGAGAAATGAGGGTGGAAAGGAAGTAAAGATGTCTGGATTCCAGTTCTTTGGACAAGATTTGTCTCATGCTAGTCTCAGTCGGTAGTAATCAACATGACCGATTAAGAAGGCCTTATAGGTGCACTAACTTCTGTTTAGGTTTTGCTGCCTGACCCAACTTGACGTAAATAGACGCCTCTGGCATGGATACAAAAGCCTTTTAGCATTATTTATATGCTATTATAGTAATTATGTATAGGAGCTTATGTAACTTTTAGTTTATTTACACTATCTGTAAAATAGGGTCAAAATGTACTGTGCCAATAATATGATGGAATATTCCATATTGCTTATTCACAGGTGTTTTCCCTGTGGTTTAAATTATGCATTGTATTGTGTTTTAGGGTTACAGAAAATTACTAGTACCTTTTACATTTTTATTTGGATTTTTTATTACAGTTTACTATAAGAGTAAAACTTTTTTTCTTTTTACAGTGGAACCAGAGTTACTTTAAAGGGTTAGTTCTTCCAAAAATGAAAATTCAGATTTTCTTGACTCACCCTCATATTGTTCCCATATGACGTTCTTCCCTTCTGTGGAGCACAAAAGAAGATGTTTTGCAGAATATTCAGATCACCTTTTTCTGTGGAGTAAAAGTAAATGAGGTTGTCAAGCTCCAAAAGAACAAAATGCACCACAAGGGGCCGTTCACACACAACACATTTTTCCATTCCACTGCCCTAGTTTTTCATTCTTTTTCAATGTAAACGCGCTAGAAGAATGCGTTTAAACAGTGTGGTCGCATTGTCTAAAGAGGCGTTCTCATAACACAAAGCTAAAATAATTTCTACTTTTAAAAAACGCATCTCTAGACCTTGCCACAAAAATGTGTTCCATGTCTATGAATGGCCCTTAAAAGTACTCCACATGACTTTCATGTGCACCATGTTGTAAGATAACATTTGATAGCATCGACATATTTCCACATACGGAAAAATAGATAGGATTTGAGAGCAAATAAAAACTTTTCAATATGTTCCTCACAAAAAGTGAGACATCTCAGTACTTATCCTCATTCTGTTTCTTCCCCACAAGAAAGAAAATCATATTCAACGACATGAAGTCGAGTAAACGATGACAGAGAACAAGTCAGAAATAGTTTTGGTGAACAATCCCTTATTCTGCTGATGATCAGATAATGGAGCAAATGTCCCAATCTGGGAATTCTCCCTCTAATTCTTCAGTTTCTTTTCTCGTTTTTTTTTCTTCTTTCTGGCTCTGTTTCTTCGCTGAGTAAACTCTGCAAACCTTAAGAGACGTCTGGCAAGGAAACAAAACTTTGCTATTAGTTTTCCCTTAAAAGTTCTGTTTGGGTGAAGTGGAATAAGTTTACCCCCAGGGCTTGGCGAGGGTCTATTACTCTCGGCTCTGAGAACGTTACCTTACGGACCACCAGCGTTGCCATGGGAATAATCCCAGCAGACAAAAGGGAGGGATAAGAAGGGGAAATCAATGCCGTCGGGCTTTGTGGTTGGCTGGCATAGAGATCAGTCATACGTACTCCGGGTCACGGGGTCAGAGGAGGCATCAATCATGGCTTCCGAAAAGAGCGCGCACCATCTGAAAAGAGGAGAGAAGAAGGGAGGAGAGGAGGAAACATCTTCGTCTGTGTTAATGGAGGGGTGAATCATCTTTGGGCTATTTCAAGACACCACATACAAATGCAACAATAATTAGTTCCTGTAGTTTGAAAGACCAAACGCAGCTGTAGATGAGCCGTTCAGTGTTTTTGTGTGTGTGCGCATGTTCAACTATGACAGAAGAGTTACATGACAGAATCCATATCATGTCCACTTGTCCAGAGCCCAGTTTACAAGATTAAGAAATAGTACTTTCTTTAAAAAAAAAAAGAGATTCTGTTTTTCTTGTTTTTTCTCTGTACAAAAGTCACTAAGATGATGATGCCAGGGCATTTGTAAACTGTTTCTAATGTGTTGCTATGTGGTTTCTCAATTATATTCTGGTCTCTATAGACCTTATGCACCAGAGAAACGAGGGCGCCGCCATCTTTAGAATATTGTCTTTGAACTTCCGTTTTCGCGGTCGCTCTGTATATTTCTATGGCATCGCTGTCCAGGAGTAATTAGCTGGTGAAGTTGATTTACTTATTGTAGAGTTAACGAAAGTTATCATGAGCATTGTAATGTTTATGATAAGCATATTTCTTAACAAATGGACCTTTGGAATTTTTTTTACGAGACGTTCATTCATAACTACGCAAGATCGCTGTGAAAATACAGTCCGGAAGTCAAAAGACAATGAGCTCAGCGCGGGAAAGGGGCGTGGCTACATACGGTCTATACAACTTGCATCTCCCCTCTATGAAACTTTTTCCTACCTCTTTTGTCATGTGAAAAAAAAGGTGTGATTTATCGTTCATGTCTGTGGCAAAAACAGCAATGGTTGAGTTACATTGTGAAGTTTATATGTAGTATTAAGGGTTTGTTTAAATCCATAATCATGAGGAATAGTAACAGTGATGCTTGTCTTAGCAAGCAAAACTAATAATAAAAAAAAAAGTGTTTATTTACTTTCTTAATCATTGATTTCCATCCAGGCCTCCAGCAGATGTTTTCATTATTGTAGATGTGCAATAAGGGTTTTCTAGATTGGCTTCAACTGCCAACACACTTGACTTACTTTATAACCAGAATGCATTGGTCTGGGAGTTTTGCCACCTTGAGGCCCCCAGCAAACACCATTCAGTGAAACTTGACCTGCTCTCCGCATGCATTCAGTCCATATAAACGATTACTGAAATGCTTTATTTGACTCAAATGCATCTTTTGTCTGAAGTTGCATATGGGCATTTGCGTCTATTAGGGTTTATCACGGTGTCAAAGACTGTAAATGCTGTTATTTCTAGCTCTCACAGAATGAATTGAAGTTGTAAAACTACATGTATATGATTGTGCACAAAATCTGACCTGTAGTGTAAGATCTGTGATGTTTGATTTAAAAAGTGTTGTGTATAAAGATCTGTCCTATTACACGCCCAAATAAACACATACAGGAAAAAAATCTTATAAAAAAAGTCACTATGATATCAAAATTGACAATTCTTACTGTATTATGGAACATTGCAATGTTGATTATAAATGATTTGTCCATACACTTTTTTTTTAAATTCATGTGCCCATCTCTTCTCTGATGACGTGTTTACTGGCGTGAGGGCGGGTCAGCCTGTCACTCACATGAGATTGACCAATAGCAAACCACAACCATCCAATCAATTCCACATGGACAGAATCAAGTCCCGCCCTACATTTTTCTTATTCGAAAAGCCGTTTCACTCATACATACATACATCTCAATAGGGAAGAAAAGACTATCGCAACTTACATTTAATGCTGACTAACAAAGCTAAAGCTTAAGCTTAACTTGCTTACAAACGCCAAAAAATATTTGGCAACCTAAAAGTGAACCCAATGAACCAGCTGTCAACATGATGGTACCCTGCTTTATAAGCTGACCTTCCTGAATGGCAACAGGCAAAACACTGGAAGAGATCTTCACCATTGGCTGTTATTGCCTCAAACGAAAAAAAAAAGAAAAGAAAAAAGTTTGTAAATGACAGACACACACAGTCATTAGATCAGTTTCTGTTCTTATGGAGTTTCGAACGCTGATCCTGGCGTTTGTAGCAGGTCACTCTGGCCACAGAGTTTGTGGGCTGTTTATGGTGTTACAGTAAGACGATTTTGCTCTATCCTTACTAATGAGCTGAAAACCGCAGTCAGGAGAAATGTGTCAAGTGTGTGAGTGGAGAACGTTCATTCATCCATTTCCAGGAAAATCTGAGGCTTAAGACTATGAGACTCCGTGTACAGAGGTTGAGCAGTTTAAATGATCAGAGTCAGACACTGCAATTCACTTTCTGTTCCAATCATATAATTAATACAGAACTAAAACACATGCACAGGAACCAACAGTTTCTCTTCATATACACAACATCTTCCCATTGCATTACAGTTAAAAGGAGAAATGTAACTTTTTTTAGCAAAGCCCCGTTTCTTATTTGATCAATGTTTTCTAAATAGTCCTTTGACGCAGGAACACTTTTCTAGGTAGATGAATTTCTAGTTAACTGCAATTCCTGCAACTAGAATTTGCTCCATGTAAACAGTCCATTTCTGGTATACTTGCGGATATCATGCAAAAGTTACCGGGTTTACAGGCATTATGTGGTCAGGACACTTAAGTTGAACTTTACATAGCAAGCGATATTATCACGCTAGTCTCATGAATGCTTAAGTATTGAGGTTATACTTTCGAAGCAGTGTGTATTTTAAGGTTTATGCATTGCCCTGTTTGCTTTATTCTAAGTGCCTTACTGTAAATTCAATCTTTGCACAATTGTTTTTCTCTAGTAATTGACATTATGCCATTGCTCTGAGGAGTCCAAGAACAATCAGAAAGCAACATTGCCACCTAGTGATGAAGCCTTCAGAAAGCCACTTATCAGCCAAATACATTCTATTCATTCTTTCAGACACACACAATTTATGGGGTCCCAGGAAGTAAACCATAAACCATGTTTACGTTGAAATACCCATGAAATACACATTTGTGTCCTCATAAACCATATATACACAAGAACACACAAAAATGGGTCATTCTACAATTTAGGGTACATTTCATGTCCTCTGATGAGAATTATATTTTTTCCTAAAAATGTTCTTGACATTTCATATTTTGTCCATTAAGAGAATGCACACTATAATCTCACACCAATAGTTTATGCATCCAGTTTTTTAGTTTGCTTGAAATTGCCTTTGTATCCCTTAAATTACAGTTTTTGCAATGTCCATATTTTGGAGTGGGTCTCAAGTTCAAAATAATGAATAAAAAAATGTTAAAGTCAAGATCATCCATATTAAATTTATTTCTACAATCTAAATACCTTAGAAAAATAGATTGAGTTTAAATGTATTTCTACAATCTAAATACCTTAGAAAAATAGATTTGAGTTTAATTTAATTTTCTTTCAAATAAGAAAATATATTAATTTTATTCATGTCCGCAAAAATTCTGTCAACTATGTTACTACCTAAACAGACCCTGAAAACAAAAAAAATTGTTTATCCCAAAACCATGTAACCAGCATCATGTGATGTCATTTTCTTCTGCTGTAGCTATTTTGAACACATTATGGTAAATATCCTCTTAATTTTTTTTATATATAATCTCCAATTACCTATTGTCAATGAGTTTATTAATTGCCCATCAAATATGTTGAGTACCCTGTTATAATTTTCTATATTTTTATGATTTTATTTCAAATAAAAATTCAAATGTTAGGTTAACCCGATCAAGTAAAACATTTGGTTGGCCATACAAGGCCTGCCATTGAAACTATGAGGCATAATGGTCATGTCATTTGTCAAGGCATAATGTCATTGTCAACTATGTTTTGACATATTTTTTACATTTTAAATATTCAGACTGCTGCTTTTGAAATTATTTCAGGGTATAGTTTACATCCACATGGACTGGAGTTTTTCTTAGAGAAATTCTTTGTTGAAAAGTATGTTAAAATAAGCTCTGTACATACGGCAGAATAGACAAAAACATTTAATATTTAAGTCATTTAAAGTGTAGCACTTAATCAGTGTAAGTAGTGGCATATAGTTTGTTCGTTTCATTGTTGACAAACTCTCCAGGGAAAACATTGTTTTTTGTCATATCAAAATGGTGTTTAACGATTAAGCTTTGCAACTAGCAGATACGTTACACTAATAAAAATATATAAACTGAAACCAATAGCTGTTTTATTGAGAAAGCATATTGTTTTTACACTTGTTTGCTGATGTGAAATGTACCCTAAATTATAGAATGACTAATGAAAGGCCACTGAGCCATGAGCTCAATATATATCAATATCAATATATTAACATATGTATATAAAACTTTGCTTTAAACAGAAAACGTTAAAAATGACAATCAATATGTAAGCTCTATATGTAATCAATATGTACGCTCTTCTCTCACTCGCTCTCTCTCTCGCATGCACACACACACACACACACTCACACAAATTACAGTTATAAAGTATGTTAAGTTGTTTCCAACAAGGCACAAGTGCCATGATTCAAGTGTTCATGTGCGCTTTGATATGCTCAAGTTATATTTGTACTCCTTGGCAAGTGCTCATTGGCGAAGTTGCTTTTGTAATGTAGAAATGTATGGACAGCGTGTTTGATTGGCAATTTAGAAAAGAGTTTTTTCTTTGGTGAGAAGAAAGTATTCCCAAAAAGCTCTTTTGCATTTGTTATATGGCAGTTTATGATTAAATGTTCCTCATTGTTCTCAGTGTGTATGAGAAAGAAAAAAAAAAATGACAAAAGCTTGAGTGATTTTTTTCAAAAGTATATCCCCTCCATCTCCACTGACCTCCAACCGCCAATACGGCAAGAACCATTTCCTCCAAAGGGCAGTTGGATCAGTCTACATGTAGACTGATAATTGTTGTTAGATATCAGAGTCTGGACAGTCTTCCTCAGTGCTGAGGAAGGGCGGGCTTGTGTCTGTCGTGCCGTAGGATTGCCGAGTGCTGCACTCATCAGAAGACTCGGACGACGCGTCTGGGTTCAGAACTTTAGGAAGATACACCTACGTAGAGTAAGAAAGATTTTGGTCATTACGAAATCTATCAATTGAAAACAAAATGTGTGATAATGTAATGTAAAAATGTGAAACTTGCCGATGCAGATGAGCATGTTGATGCTGCGTCTTCATCTTCCTCCTTAATCTGAATCACAGAAATACATAATTACATATATGCATTTTGCAGATGTTTTTATCCAAAGCGACTTACAGTAGAGGATCATAGGCAATACATCACAGAGCCAACAATATTTATAGCATACAATGCCCAGGTTTATAAGAAATCTGGATTTGGAAACAAAGATGAGAAATGTAGAGATAAAAAAAAAAGATTTTTGTGTTTGTGTATGTAAGTGGTTTAAATGATAAAATGGGGGTGGTTGAATCAGAACTATTAAATGATGGTAAAACTATAACAATTATAACAATAGTGGCATTGTAAAGTCGGACAAAACTCTGATACAGAACAAAGCAGCTTACGTTGTAGTTGTGGGGACTGAGGTATTTGAAGTGTCCAAAGCAAGTGTAGCTTATACAGATAAAGATGGTGACGCACAGAACCACTAGTGTGAACAGTGACGTGACTGCCATGAAGCCTGTGAGAACAGTCAACATATACAACACACACTATGAATCAAACAAAATAATACAATAAACAAAATGCCTGAGAAACATTGATTTAATCAGCCAATTAGTGGACGTTACCTGTCCTGAGCACAGAGAAAAAATAAAGCCACATCAGGCATATGATTGGTGCAGCCAACGCTTGATTGACAGCTCCCAGGTGAACTTGCCGGTCAAGGCGGGCGGGCAGGTAAGCGAAGTACAGGTTGTGTTTGTCCACCAGGTGTTTCAGCAACAAGTACAGCAGACCTGCAAACATGAACTGTATGTTAATGTAATGTTACACACACTAATAATGTGTACAAGGCCTTGAGGAAAGAAATCAGACCGAAAGGGACGATGACAGGACAGGTGATGCTGTACGCCATGATGACCGTGAACACACACAGAGTCCATCCGTACATCGCGCCGTACTGAAACTCGTATGCCTGATTCTACAGAGAGACAAGATTACAAGTGGATCAGAAACACATTCCTGTTAATTCTATTTAAATCAGTTTCAAGGGATGGATGGATGGAAAAAAATGACCTGTTTAACGTATTTCCTCTCAGCAGCCGAATGTGCGAGTGCCAGACGCACGATGTAGAGCAGTAACCCTGGCAACCGCAGCAGCTCCATGCCTGTGCCCACCAGAGCCGCTGTGATCACGTAATTTACAAAGAACGCCCCCTGATCAGGTAAAAACACACACCTGAGATAGACAAAGAGAGGAGCCGGGAAGCCAAGCCATAGTTTTTTTAGGTGCATGTCACAAAACGAATAAATCATTCAGATTTGAGCGAATAAAATCACAAGTATACTCACTCAAACCTCAGCTTTCCCACAGACGACTTATCAAACAACCAGCGGAAAAACACGTCCAGACTGAGTGGAAAGAGAGCACATCTGTATACATGCTGACTTTGGGAACAATTTAGACCCACTATACACACTAATCAAGAATTCATTTATGGTCATTTCATTGTGTTTTTTTAGGACAAGGTTAAAGGGTTAGTTCGCCCATTTAAGACATGAAGTTGTATGCAATCCTTACCAGCACTATAGTGCATACACACTGACTCACTCTGTTGTCACCTCCCTGGTCAGAGTTCTGGCCGCTGGAAGTTTTTCAATGAAGTACTCCCGGTTATTTCCCGGGGTCACAAAACTGTGCGTTTTTACGTGAAAAAATGATTTGCGTTTCAAAGCTTGATTATATTACCACACAAAAAACACGCCGGTCAAAATTCATACCTCAGTTTTAATCGGCACTATTTTCTATCCATTTCTATCAATCCGCGCTGCTGTCAACGTCAACAGTGCGCACGTTCCGATCAGCTGTTCCATAGTGTTTACACAATCGATTGACAACGACGTAAAAAGTATTAAATTAACAATGGTGCGAACTTGTAAATTCCCAGGCTGTGACCACAACGATGTGCCGGGATCAAAGTTCAGATTCCATCGTTTTCCTGTTTCGAATATAACTATGAGACAGCTTTGGCTGGTTGCCATCGGCTACTCTGCGGGAGCTAAAATATCCAGAATAAAGGATTTTCATGAGTGTAGTGCTCACTTCAGCGAAGACGATTACAACCAAGGAGGAAAAGGAAAATTAAAGAGTTTTGCTGTACCAGTACCACGGGTAAGCTCTACTAACTTTATGATCCTATGTCTAAACTGTACGGTAAACAAGCTGATGTTTAGACTCCATTATAAAACACGTGAAAAGATGTCTAATATAAAAACAGTATAGCCTATAGGGATATTGGTACAATTTGCTGAGAAAACTATTTGATTGAACACACACACAATTGAGGTTTTGTGTTGCAATCAATAACATTTTCGTTGTGCTAAAATTACTTTCATCATCTGATCTGTCTGACATTGTGCTAAAATTGGTTTCATCATCAGAAGTTTCGCAGTCAGACATGTTGTCAGCGAGTCGCGCTATCAACAGCTGATCGGAACGTGCGCACTGTTGACGTTGACAGCAGCGCGGATTGATAGAAATGGATAGAAAATAGTGCCGATTAAAACTGAGGTATGAATTTTGACCGGCGTGTTTTTTGTGTGGTAAATTAATCAAGCTTTGAAACGCAAATCATTTTTTCACGTAAAAACGCACAGTTTTGTGGCACCGGAAAATAACCGGGAGTACTTCATTGAAAAACTTCCGGCGGCCAGAAGTCTGACCAGGGAGGTGACAACAGAGTGGGTCAGTGTGTATGCACTATAGTGCTGGTAAGGATTGCATACAACTTCATGTCTTAAATGGGCGAACTAACCCTTTAACAATGAAACCGTTAAGTTAGATTGTAATCCACAACAGAGCAAAAAATGCTGTTTATTAAAGCTCCAGGTTTGCTGTGCTTGTAGGGCAGCAAATTTGCTAAATATATGCTAATAATAATGATAAATAAAAAAATTTAACAAATTTGGTAATATTACTATTGTAATATTTCACTGTGAAATAAAAAAAAAATAGTATTTATGAAAACTAATATCCTTATATTACTACTACTACTAATAATAATATTAATAAAAATAACAATAATATATAATAATAGTAATTTGAAAACACTGAATTATGAGCCGCTCACGTGTAAATGAACAGTGCTGCACTTCACTCTGTAAAAGGCAGCTCATATGGTTATTTAAAGGGGCTATATCCAGAATTCAGAAACCCTTGTCATTAGCGACACAGGTGGCCATTAAGTGAACTGCAGCCAACAACGTATTGCTCATGCTCGCACTCATGACATACAAGTGACTGAACATGATTCAATGCCCAGAAATACTCACGGTGAAATTATTTTTCATTCTTTGCTTAGAACTAACTAAATTCTTTGCATTCTTCCTTAGAACGTATAGTACAGCTCATTATCCTAAACATTGTATAAGCATTCATTCCATGTGTCATTGAACGGAAGAGAGGTTCCCGGGAGCGCAAGCAAATGTCACATAAATGTTCCCGGTAAGTCCTTCACATAAAAATCAGTCTACTCTACAGGCTTTCATTAAACAACCTAGGAAGTCTCGTTTTTTTTTTTTCATTTTTGTTACATGAAAATTCTTACATATAGCCCCTTTAATTAAATCGCATTAAATAATTGATAACCACAGTGAGACATTTCAAAATTAATTAATCGTGCATCCCTAACCCTTAACTTAGTTAGTTTACAGTAAAAGTGTGTGTATAGAAATGTGGAGAAAGATTTAAAGAGCTCTTACCTGGTGAGGCCCAGTGATGGCAAAATCAACACCATGAAGATCAGAAATATGTAGAGCTTGTACATCATGCTCATATTCTCACTAGACCTACACACACAGACAGACACGCATTATTGAGTGAACGTGTTTGAGTTTGAGTGCGTGTTCCTGTGTTGATGTCTACCTGGTCCAGTGAGATTCTCCCAGTGTAGAGTAATACACTATAGTGGGCAACAGGGCAGAGAAGGTCCACAGTAAAAGAGTGGGGAAGAACTGGCTGATAACGGCACTCTACAAAAACAACAAACAGTCTTTTTCAAACACACACTGAACTCCATCTACGTGCACACATCATTATAAGTGCAGTGTTCAGTCACATACGTTCAGATAGTGAATGGGCTTGGTGACATTAAACTTGTCCATGGTGGTGATGATGATGGAGGGTGTTGTGAGGAAGAAGAGGAGGAAGAAGAGTGCAACATTCAGAAGCACACAACGTAGCCACCAACGCCACCCACGTAATGACAAATTCTCCCTGAAAAAGACAGAATGTGAGATTATTATAAGCAGAATTGTGAATTGGTATTATATTGTCTATAACAAGCAGGTTGTAATATTAAAGATTTTGCTCCAAAAAATAGGACATACCAGTAAATATTATGAGGGTGAGGAGCGTAATACACTTTCCATTTGTGCACCCTCAGCTCTGCACTCTTAGAGGACGGCTGAGGCTCTCGGCCACACCCACACGTGATTCCCCCACCCATTTCTTCTCCAACCACACCCCTTGTCCCGCCTCCACACTCTAGAGCATTGAAATCTTTCAGAATACTGTGAGGAAAGACAAAGGACATACGTTTAAAACCCAAGTGAGCTGAAATTATACTGGAAAATACATTAGAAAATACTTCCGTCTACAATTATATTCATAAACAAGATTTCTTTGACTCGATCCACGATCTTAGGGATTATTTTCACGGAGATAATCGCATTTCATTCTGCCTTATATTCTGGTAAAACCAATGTGAAACAATCTTATAAGCTAGGATAATTATTATGCATAGTTTCCTTAAATGGACAGTTGAGTCTGAGTGTGAATCACTTACTAAGCGGCCATGTACTCATTTTGGAGGGTGACAAATGCCATGCCCAGAGGGTACAGCCTACTCTGCTTTAGTTTATCTTCCTCCTCAAGCAGAGCAGCTTCTTGTGAACTGTAGAACTCTATAGCATCAACCTACACACAAACACACACATTATTTAGATGCCCAAATCTTGAAAAGTCAAAACAAGGCCACTGCTAATGATGGTCGTACTCACCTTTTCACACCCCTCACAGTGGCAGCAGCAGCACAGGTGGCTGCATGGGCGCGGGTTGATGACCCCACGTTGTCCCTGGCGATCGAGTATCTTACGGTAATGCTGCAGGTTGTTTTCTGCCCGTTTTCTGTTACAAAAATAAAATACACAAACAAAACAGTTAATGCTTGAACTCATATAATACTAAAATATTAATGATCATACCAGGGTTATTACATTTGACTAAAATTAAAACCATTTAAAAAAATTAAAATGTTTTAAATTAAATAAAAGCTAGTAGCAAAAGAAGCATTGCCAATTTTCATTTAGTTTAACTTGATGTACTAATATAAATACCAAGTTCTGTCATGTAACTCTAGATGGAGCAGGCTGATGGATCCTTACGATCTTCTAACAATTACATAATTTACTACATGCCATGGCACAAGCTGATTGGTTCCCGTTTCATCTGCAGCCAATGAGCTTGCTGCTCAACATTTAAATAGTTGGTCAGTGTTTGCTGTAGCAGTTTGCAGCATGCTTTCAGAACTCCTTCCGCCACAATCGTGAATGAAGTGCTGCACAATTTCGAGACTGCTTGTTTGCAGTGCAAGGGTAAATAAAGAACTGGTTCTTCGCAATGTTTGCAATGACTAATGTTTTATGTATTTGAGGAACTGAGAAGAGAGTCAGTCTGGTATTTGCCATCTAATCATGGCTATGACTTCATATTTTATATAAACAAGATTTTTGCCAAATGTATTAAACAACATGAAAAACTGAGCACCCACACACAATCAACTTTGTAACCACCTGTAAGATGTTGAAAACATTATGCATGAGCAAAATGCATCATTTGAATTCATGATTGGGTGACTGCCAAACTAAAATATTAAACAGAACGATAAAATAATGTTATTAGCCAGTTAATGGTAATTTCAAATTAGTGTTTCTTTTCATAACGATTAAACTGGACTGTTAAAATTTAGTTTGTTTCCGTTTTTTGTTTTCGTTCCTTGAATCGGTTTGGAGCCCTGGCCGTAATATCAGCAGCATAGCATATCTATTCTGCCAAGAACAAATACATTAACATTTCCATATCCATTACCATGTCAAACTCTTCCGAGAATTGCCATGATAGAACTAAAACTAAAATGATTACATATTTAAATGAAAACATATTTTATTTTATTTTTAAAAATGACAAAAATACACAACAAATTACTAAAAATTTAACAATTTAAAATGGAAAATATAAAAATAAAAACTATAATGGTATCTCAATGATACTAAAATAACACCATTGTCTGTGAGAGTATGTCCTATAAGATATTTGGACAACTACATAATATTGGGTCAAATCGTCACTCTCACCTGTTTCTGTCCAGGTCAATCAGTTTGGCAACATCATAACACAAGTTAACTTCAGTCACTTGACAGGTAGGGTATGCCTCCCTGAAAACAAATATACATCAAGACATGTTAATACCTTAAAAGTTAACTGAGTGATTTCCGCATCAGTGGCACCAAGCAGAATTGCAAAAATAATGATAATTTTCTCAAACACATCCCCCGACTACCTTTGCTCAACCAAACAGGTACTACTGGCCCAACTCAAGCCATTGTTTGAACCAATCGGTCACTCAAATTAACATTCCATTTGCTGCCAAAATTATACTGTTATTATTATTTAAGTATAATCCATAACTGTAATGTTAATCAATTACTGTGATTGACCAATAAGTCTTTTGGTCAGTAGCTGCCTTTGAGATCCAACCCACCCACATTATGGAGCTGAGATCATCATGCCTTACACACTAAATGGAACAAGTAGCATGGAGATGGGATGTAAAAGATGTCTGGATTAATGTCTAAAAATAAAGAGATTGGAAAAGTCAACCCACTTACACAAAGTGAGTTTTTATACTCTCATCACTGGCTGCAGTGGGTACAGACCTCACAAACAGGGTGTTTCTGGCCTATGGAAAAATAAACCAGGGTTAGACAGACACTAACCAGCATGTATATGTGCGTGAGAGAGAGAGAGAAATGTCAGGATGGCTTACTATCTCTCTCTTGGTTCCCTTCATTTTAGAGGTGTGGCGTCTCAGCAGGGCCACCGTGATCATGAGATATAGAACTGCAAATACAGTGTGCAGCCAAAGCAGCTTATCACTGTGAAGACATCATATAAAATACAGTTCAAATAGACACACACACACAGATACCTGCAGTCATATGTGCATAGACACATACGGTACATACCCCTGCTTAAGATTCCCTATGGTGGTTCTCCCGAAACTGTATGGATCATTGCCTGGAACACAGTTATAAGTCAGTCTTTTTGCCTTCAGCAGAGACTGAAACACACGACTAAGAAAACTAGGGTTTATAGCCAAGCTACTGTATGAAGCATTCTTGAGACCATATTGAATTTTTTTGTAATTGCATGAGCGAGCTACCCAGCAGGTCCCCGGACAGGTTGACTGGTAGGATGACGGACACAGACAGCACACAGATGAGCAAGAGCAGGGTGACCAAGTGCTTCTGAAATGACAGATAATGTACTGCATCCACCCCACATCTCTCCTGGACTGTAGACTCACTGCACACACACACACAGATTTCAGTTTCACTTCTCCATTTATTTTATTAAGACCCATGTGCACTTCCCCATTTAAATTAGGAATAAGTGACAATATCAACAGGCAAAAGCTTTCCGGGTATAAACATAACACTTACTCCATATTGACGATAAAGGTGACCCAAGAGCAGCAACCCTACAGGAGACGAGGAAGATGTTGATGATATCATGAATGATGTCATAATGAGGATGATGTGTTCTAAACTCACCTTCTCGTAGTCAGGCTCCTCAATGGATATGGATGATGTCATTCTACGGTAATGTCGTTTACTGAAGTCTCTGAAACGGCAACAATGGTTTTATAATAATCTTTTTAAATACTAATATTGGCTAGTTTAAAGCTTCATTTTACAATACATTTTAGACACTATGTTCCCTATAGTAACAGTATGGCACTGTATGTTTCCGTTGCAACTAGTACTGCCTTCATGTCACATACCCTTCAGTCTCTGCAACAAGAGCGAGTCTCCCATAATCCCACAGTCTCCTTCTGATCACAGTGAAGACCAATAGCAGCACCTGCAGGATGATACACAGCGTTATGTGGTTTGATTGGTTGGTGCAGATGTAATTGGATGGCGCCAACAGCGCAAGTCAATTGAATCCCAACTAACTCCATAACTTACCAGGAAGACTATAAAATCGAGCAGCAGAACGATGGGCACACCTCCGAAATTCACCCCCTTCAGCACAGTGCTCTGCGTGGCACTGAAACAGCTACTGTTGTCCACATGGACAGTGCCATTATCCACCGGCACGGAGAGCTGCCCCCACCACGTGGAGGCCATCTGGAGGAGAAACAGATACAAATTATACAAGGATTTCTTTTCAGGGCACACAAACAGCTTTTTTGCTGCCTCTGAAAAGATCTGCTTCAGTGGCACATATGCCATCAACATCCCAGGTGACTATTGTTTGTTTGTTCGCCTTCATTTATACAGACAAGTCAGTTTCTTATTTACAATGACCCATGGCAGGAAAAGAAACATCATCCTGCAATGATGTCCGGAGGGTATAATTGTTTTTATGACCCTACAAGTTTCATTAAACCATCATTAAATATGACAAACAAAAAACTAAACTTGGTTAAGGTACTTCTCTGACAAAATTATTTGGCAAAAAAGGCAAACTACAGCAACAGGTTTGATTTTACTGTGCCAAAAAATGCACAGAAAAACAAAAAGCTCACAGGAAAAAGCATATATTGACTACAACATAATCAGTTATTAATATTTCATTGGTTCTTTCTTGTTTTTGCATGCGTTCATAATTTCTTAGTATGACAGCCTGGCCAAAAATAATGTCAGCAGTTTCATTGCGTTATTACAAATAAAACAATTGACTCCAAACACAACTACGTAATAGCATTGTAAATCTTTTAACTCATTTTTATTAATATTTAAATAAAGGTTGAAGATGTCAATTTTACAAGTTCGGACATGACTTTTGGCCACTGCTGTACATACATTACATTCAGAGACATATACAAAAACACAAAAAAAATGTTTTAGTAAAAAAATGGTTTTAGATAGCACAGCTATCTAAAACAATTGCAGCAGTTGTTCAAAGCACTAATGAACAATTTTTTAAAAGATTAAACAAATATATGCATTTTTGCATACATTTTCTGTCATTTATGTAAACTATTCCAGTCAGTAGGGCAGCAAAATTAAAACGCAGAACAATAGGAGCTTTTTCTTGTAGGAACATTGAGAAGATTACTTTATCTAGTGTGGTTCGTCAAAGGTTGGTTTCGAACACTATTTTGAAGGTAAGCTGGTGTAAGTCCGAACAAATTTCTAAAAATTAATATACAGTATACCAACTTTACTATTACTCTATGAATAGATCACAGCATTCCATCTCATTCTCAGTCATACCATCACTGGTACCGCCACATGAGATTCCATTCAGTGTTGTGAATGGCAAATCAATGCAAGGACGTGAAATGTCACATGCATTTCAGTTCAAACTCTAGAGGGAATCCTTTATAACTTTATTGCAAACAAAACAGAATTACACAATGGCCTGGAATCAGGGGTTTTCAAACCTGTCCTGAGATTTGAAAACCCCTTGGTCTAGATCATATGACTATGTTCCATTTACACAAAAAAGGTTTGGATGGCTTTGTGAACATGATAACGCTGTAAAGTGCTGTAAATTGTGGATTACTGGTGACTGTATTCATGATAAACGTTTGAACCTTATGTTGTCATGTGATATATCACAATGATTCAATGTACTGCCATTATATGCTACAAGAATGTGTTATTTAAGACAGGATCATAATATAACCACTGGCTGCACAAATAGCCTAAGTCATAATCTAACCCCTTTTTCACTCCACCCTGTGTCTGTGGGCCTCCTACAGTTCCTCTTCTGCTTTTAGATGATTTTTTTCACTTGGTCAGGTGACATGTATAAATCAAGGAATATAATCATATCTCATTACATACTGCTCTGCGTTTTCACTGTCCGGTGGTCATGCATAAGAGTTTTACTCACTCTGAAGTGGCTCTGAAAAAAAAATAGATAAAAAAAACAGACTGTTACATAAAACATAAAAAAATATAAAATCAAGACAGTGAAATAGAGATATTAAGTCAAAATTAAGTGAGTTTATGCTTAAAAAAAAGGAAAAATATCTGTCAGTGAGGTATGAAAAATCTTGTTTTTCCCTTTGAATAAAATTTGTGTTTTGTTTTAATCAAAATAAGTGTATCTTGATTTAAAGGGGTCATCGGATGCAAAATTCACTTTTATATGGTGTTTTCATGTAATTGTGTCTTTACAGTCTGTGGACACAACCACCATACAATGGGAAAAAAAAACATCCCACCTTTTTTTTTTTATCCTCAAAAAGCCTAAACACTCTCAATAAATAAGCCGTTCGGATGTCATATTGCTCATGCTCCACCCACGACCACTGACGGACTGTCCCACTGTCAGCTATTTGTATACTGTCCACCAAGGCAGCACTTTACATGTCTTGTGTCAACAACACGTCCCACGGGAGAGAGGGGTGGGGTGGGTAGTTGCTCATTATCATTTAAAGAGACACCGAAACGGGTCGCTGTGAACAGAGCTGTTTTTGAGGAGGTAAAAAAGGTGTTGTTTTACACAACCAAAGTAATTTTAACCAAAGTATGTTAATACAAACTGATGAAGAAGACCCTAAAGAATCATACCAACTTGTGGAAAATGGGCATCCGATGACCCCTTGTTGCTTAGATATTGGTAATGGAAAACAAGACAAAATTACTGAATAAAAAAATATAGTGTAGCAGTGTAGCTACCTCCAGAACACTTTACAGTAACAAGTCACAATCCTACAGTATGTGTCAAATAACAAAGACAGAAGTGAGAAATTCTTTGGTTTGCAATGTGTCTGAATGAACTTTGAAATCCCACAGATGTGAAAGCAAAACATATTTCAGCAGAGATTTAATTTTAGAAACATAATTTCACCTAATGTAAGGATGCATGATTCTACTTCTACTTTCTACTTCTCTAAAGATCAGTTACATTAACTTCTCATAGGCCTGGTTTCACAGACATGGCTTAGATTAAGCCTAGTTCAACAAGTACATTTCAATAGTTTTTTTAAACATGCCTTAGAAAAAGACAATGTGCATCTTGAGACAGAATGGCACGGACATATTTTAAGATGTCAGTTTAGTTAAAACAGCTCACACATGCATTTTAGTCTGGGACTAGGCTGTCTGTGAAACCGGGGGAATAGTGTAGGCCTATTCGTGTTATGACATAGTTTAGCAACACTTTGCATGACTGAAACAACTTCTTTATGATGTGGAAACTTACTGTTGCCAAACTGACAGCTGATGTCAGAACTGTCATAACTACGCTGGTTGAGTATAAAGCCAAAAACGGATTTACTAACTAGCAACTAAACTAAAGGTAGTTAGACTCATGTTAGCATGTAAACACACCTTGTTATTTTAAACGAACACCAAAACAAACAAAAACGTGCCACTAAACTCATACATCGACATGCTGTGAGTGACGTCAAGACGCATCTGTATAACGGCTGGACAAACTTACCTTCATTAACCGAAAGATTTAGTGTCTCTTTCTCCACTTTGGCAAATAAAATATGTTATGAAACAAAAACATACCTCGGTTTTCCGCTTCTGGGTTGTCCAAAAACGGTCGGGTTGTCAACTGAGCTGAGATTAAACTAAACGAAACTTTACAATGACTCATATCCGCACATGCGCAGATACACTAATCTCCGCCCAGTGTCCCATTACAACACTGGTACAAAAGCAAACATTTTTTTTTTTTAATTAATTAATTGTCATTGTATTTGATACAATTCACAATCAACCTGGAGAAATTAATAAATTATTTAATGAGATATTAAGAAAAAGCAGATCATAAAAGTCCCGCAGTGCAGAGAAAGATGGCATTAAGAAATATGGTAAATAAATTAAGAAACAATATTAAGAAATTAAGAAAAATAAGCCAAATAAATCATAAATAAAACAATAGTGTTTTATCTATTCACAATAACTATGCCTAAGCATTCTCTAATCTCTAATATGATGATAATAAAGTAAATTGATCAAATTGATCATTTAGTGAAATCAGTCGGTTTATTTTTCTAAACAAAACCGCATTCAACAGCAATTGCTGGCAATGAAGTGTTGTTTCTTTCAGCTCCAGAGACAAAATAAAATAGAGTAAAATAACAGAAATCTTTTTTTTTTTTTTTAAATATTGGATAGATGGGAGAAACAATATATGTCCATAAAGATAAATATGAAAAAGTAGCAATGAAAAAAAGTATCAGTAGAGAAATAAAATATACAATATGCTTTGTGCAATGCAGGGGAAATGCATTATTTATCCAACCATGTTATCAGATTGCTTTCAGGTGTTGAAAATAGGCAAAAATTTCCAAGCAGTGTCTGATTTAATTGGTGCATCCACACATTTGACTTAAATAGATTATCCCAGCCCTGGAGAGGGGGAAAGAGAGAGATGAAGAGAGTCTTTGAGCCTTTACAGTGAATCCCAAGTGATTGACAGGGCGGCTTTATCCGTCCAATATCATCCAGCTCACGTTCTCATTCCCCTCTGCGTGGCCCTCTGCGACACCATCTGACGCAGGAATTAACCCCCGCTGCAGGCTGGAGAAGGGCGACAGGTTCCCTAATCAGCGGCTGATTGCGGCGGCGGCGCTCGGGGAGAGAGCTGTGGTGATTGGGGGTATGGAGCCTTTGATTGTTTTCAGTCAGCCTGACAGCTGAGGAATACTGCTTCTAATCAGCGTAGTCAAGAAACTGGCATGAGTGGCAAATGAACAGTCAAGTCTACACACACACACACACACACACACACACACACACTCTCATTTAGATGTTTCGCTTGGTTAGACTACTGTAAACACATTAATCTACTTCTTTCTTTGCTGTAGGCCTACATTTCACTTACAACTCAGACTGGAGATTATACTAGAGTACCTTTTTTTATTTAAACAATGGTCAAATTGCAACAGAGGTAGACCAGTTTTAGGCCTACCAGTGAATGGAAATGAGCCCTAAAAGGAATATTGAATCATATTTTGTTCTGTCATGTAGTGTAAATAGCTTTTACTGCACCCATTGATTTCTCTTCAATAGATGTTTACCCTGAATGAATGGTGTTTGTGGATGTGGAATAATGGTGTCTCTGCTTTTGCTTTAACAGTGTGCTTTTTGCCTAGGGTTGCCAGATTTAAAAACTATGGCCAATGAAAAATAGCCCATAAGTAGCGAGCGCAATGACCACAAACACAAAAATATGCCTTTCCCCATACCTAAATTACATATCCAGTCACTGTTATGCAAAATGAAAACCACTATAGTGATCACGAAACTTGACATCAAGCTGCAGTTTTATCATTTAGAATATAAAATATTTCAATACAAGCATTTCAGTCAAATATCAATATGTGGGGGGATCAACCTGCGGCAACAGTTAAAAAGTTTCCCAATTCCACAGGAAAACCACAGACTTGTCAACCCTGTTTTTGCCTAAAAAGATTTCAAAAAGAGCAATAAAGCACAGTTGCAAACAAAAGTGGTTGCATTTTATCGTATTTAATGTTCTGCCAGAAGCAGGTAGAGAGTTACCATATGATAGGAATACACAAAATGAAGTTCTCGATCAAGATCAAATCTGGTATCAGACACTAAGTTACTGTGATGTTTTTTCACCCAATTTCTGTATCCGTCATTCAGGAAACACATGCTGTTATTGTTGATCATGTAGCGCTTCACAGTCTTCAGTCATAGTGTCACCACATCTTTCTGAGGTATCCCAATTTGCCTCTTCCCAAATGTTGACCTCATAGCCGGTATCCAATACTCCAGATTTGCTGAATTGATGCATCTCATTAAACCAGTTTTTGCCAAGGCATCATTTAGCTGGAAAATATGACAATATATTTGCTTTTGAATGTTTTGTCATTTGATTTTACAGAGAATAACAGAGGTGATTACTTAGGCTACTTCAGAGCGTTGGATATCAAAGCCTCCACACTGCAGGTTTTTCAGGAACAACGTTAGCGACAGACTTCACAGCCAGCTCATACTAAACATTGAACAAAGGTATATAGCTAAGCTATAATAGCTTTCATCAGGGTTACCCTTATTTCTTCAGGGCTTTTATTTAACTCTCCTCTTACATAGTGTGGTTTGGATGTGAATCAGGGTTTAGATCTACTGTAGATTATTCAGGTATGAAATGAGAGTATCCTGAAAAAAGCTGGGTTATTCCAAGAATCCAACCTCATTCAGGGGACGGTTGTTTAGCACTTCGACTGACTTAGCCCAACTATCACCAGCGATCCAGAAACGTCCAGATGCGTTGGGAGTGAGTTTCTCAAACAAAGAAAACATGTGGTGAGGTTTGGCAAAGGGCACAATGACATTAACTCTTGGGGTGCTCTCGATTTGTTTGAAAGTTTCATTGAGTTTTGATTGAATCTAAGTTTTCATCGTCAAGAAAATCAGGTAGCACGACACGGTACGACACAATCATTTTCTGGATTTTGGCGTGCGCCTCAAGACGGTCCGTGGCGTAGCATCCAAAATCTCTGTCTGGTTATTATGCCAATCTATAGGTCCAGTTGTGGTATAGCGCAGAATTTAGGCGATTACTTGAGCCTGGTGGTCATCTTCCAGCACAGTCCTCTTGAATATTGTAAAACGGGTTTTATTGCTCAAAACACCACCTGTTGAACCATAACTGATCTGTGATCATAATAAGAACATTGTTGAAAAAAGTTTTAAAATATGACATTCTGAAACATTTAAACAAAACATACCTGTGGCATAAACCCTATAGTGACAAACCGCGCCACTGTGATGGAAACCTCTGAATTTCCTATTACAGCCTGAAACATACACTGTAAAAAAATTGCTGTAGTTATGCAGCTGTTTGCCAGTAACTTACTGTAGATTTAAATTGATGTATATTTACTGGCAACAGTTTGTTTAAAGTTAAATGAACATTAAACATTAACAAGTCTTTGTCTTTACAGAATAAAATTATAAAATAACAATCTACTGCAAAGCATTCTGGGAACCAGAAATCTTCATCAACCTTTTTCTGTTTTTTTTTCCTTCTTCAGATTTTGGTTCCCAGAATGCTTTGCATGAGGCTGTTATTTTAGTTTTATTCTGTAAAGATAAAGACTTGTTAATGTTTAATGTTCATTTAACTTTGAACAAACTGTTGCCAGTAAATAACATCAATTTAAAACTACAGTAAGTTACTGGCAAGCAGCTGCCAGTAATACTGTAATTTCTACAGATTTTTTTTACAGTGTAGAATTGCCACCAGAACTTTTGTCCTTGAAGACATCAGAGTTGCAGTGCAGTGCAGTGGTCACATCAGAGCAGGTGTCTAGATCTTCTAGCCAAATGTAAGATTTTTCAACATGGAGGAGTTGTTGATGGCCTCCACCGCTTCAATCATCAGGGATTGAATCAACCTACTGTAAAACTGTCAGAAATAACAAGAAGGGCTCAGAATGCAGCTGATGGATGGATGGATGGATGGATTGATTGATTGATTGCAGACCAAAATTGCTAAATGCTAGTGCTAAATGTTAGTTTGAAGGTTCAGGTTGCTGTAGAAATATTTCTTACTCTGAAGAACAGTAATTGATTTGATATAATAAACAAACACATGCACAAACAATGACCTCAAGTCTGTAATCGCATCAACTGACCGTCACTGTAGAGCTGCTGAGTCACTCCGACCAAAGACACGATGTCACAATATCAGACATAAAGACAAAACAGGCCAACATAAACCAGCATATAGCTTCTGTTTGAAACCTGCTATTTGCATTTAATTTTACCACTTAATTTGAACAATCCTTTTTTTTTAGAATGCATAGCCTATTTAAATTTATATAAGAACAGGTCAGTAAGGATTCAAAAGAAGGAGGAAGATCAGTTATAATGGGTTATCTCTTTATTTATCACAGCTTAATGATATGTTCAATCTTTTTGTATAATTGAAAAAAAAATACAGTAAAAATAAGGGACATTTACCCTGAACATCAGATCTCTTATATTTCATCTCAAGCTGACACATTTCCTTGGAAAGTACCTATACTTAAAAAAACTTTTTTTTTAAAGCTGCAAAGTAACGGAAAAACGCTACTCGTGTGGTATCAATGTTGAGAGACGGTCGTAGGCCTAATTGGTGTAAAAAATAATAATAATAAACTTCTTGTGGGGAAAAAAACTTTAGTGGAAGTAGATGTCGACGCTATTACTAATACTCACCACTAGAGAGCAGCACTGCACATACATTTTCCAGCCCTCGTCCCCCAAAACTGAAGAACTCGATATTTATTATTCCTCGACAGTAAAGTCTTATTATGTCCTGTATATTTGCCAGTTTATGCCAGTCTTGGCATGTTTGCTATTTAATGCTTCTTATTTTGATCCTGTCTGTAGTAGGCTATCACTGTATAATTCTATCAACTGTAGCCTATCATCACAATGTAACCGTTTATTAGCTTGCATTATTTGATTTTCTAATTATGAGTTATAGAAGCCGTCTCATCCAGTGTTATCCTTCAATATGTGTATTTCAGTTAGTGTTTTTAATGTTTATAACGTGTGGCATTTTGACAGTTGCTCCGTCAGAAACATCCCCTTCCCTTCTGAATAACCTTGCCAGATTACCATACAATTATCATATCATTACAATCTCATTATC